TCTTGGGACTCAGGCACTGAATTATAAGCTCAATTAAAGAGAAAACTTGAGATTAGGTCAATGGCTCAAAAATGCCAAAAGCAAACAATCTTACTGACCACAGCTTAACCCTCTGTACATTTAGGTAATCCACTGCAAAAATGTAGGCCCGCCCAGAACAGAGAAGCATGCAAAAGAAAAAATGAAAAAAAAAAAAAAAAATGATGTAAGCCAGAAGTAACCCAGCAGCTAGTAAAGGTGCATCATTCTCTACCTCAGATGGTATAAGCGTGTTACAGAGTGTGTGTATTCAGTGAACACAGGAGAAGCAGAGGTTTAAAAAAGGCCAGCTTCTGGAGATAAGACAGAAGTGGAATCAAGTGTGGTGTGGGCAGGGGAGCAATAGGGAATTACATCAAGGTTGCTAACCTGGGCCACTGAGATAGTATTAATCGGAGCAAGTGACAGATGATATGTTCAAGAAGTAGCTAGAAATACATGCTGACTTTAGAAGAGAAACCTGGGCTGGAGACAGTCTGAAGCATCCCCATGAAGACAGTGTCAAAGCCAGGGAAGTAGATGACATCACCCAGGAAGAGTATGTAGCTTACCAAGAGTGGAGGGTTACGAGATGAGATCATGGGATGTGCAGGCAGAAGAGCCAGAGAATGAGACAAAGCTGAGAGAGAGAGGAGTGACACCAAGACATAATAGTGTCTTTGAAGCCAAGGAATGAAACAATAAACTTTTTTTTTTTTATAGACGGGGTCTGGCTCTGCTGCCTAGGTTCTTCTCAAGCCACCTTCCCACTTTGGCCTCCCAAAGTGTTGGGATTACAGGCATGAGCCACTGCACCTTGCCAGAAATGAACTTATAATAGCACTAATAAGGTCACTGATGACCTCGGCAAGAGGGACAGTGAAGACATGAGCCAATTCCTACCATATTGAAGATACGAAGGCCAACGTGGTAGCTCATGCCTAATAATCCCAGCACTTTGGGAGGCAGAGATGGGAGGACCCTTTGAGGCCAGGAGTTTGAGATTAGCCTGAGCAACATAGCAAGACCCCACCTCTGCAAAAATTAAAAAAAAAAAAAAAGAAAAAGAGCCAGGCACGGTGGCATGTACCTGTGGTCCCAGCTCCTTGGGGAGGCTGAGGCGAGAGCATTGTTTGAGCCCAGATGCTAGAGGTTGCAGTGAGCTGTGATCACAAAACTATGCTCTAGTCTGGCCTGGGTGACAGAGCAAGACCGTATCTCAAAAAGATATAGAGACAGTAAGACTGTGGAATGCTCTTCCAACACGTTTAGCAGAGAAGGGAAGGGGGAAAAGAAGGCCATAGCATGACCGAGGTAAGACGAGGGAATTTTTTGAAGGATGGTGGGTACTTCAATATGTATATAGGCCAATGATTTTCAAAATTGACTGTCATCAGCATCACCTAGAGGGCTTGTTAAAATTCAGATTGTGGGGCTTGACCTGAACAAGTTTCTGATTGAGTAGGTCTAGGGTGGAACTCAAGAACTTACATTTCCAACAAGCTCCCAAGTGACAATGCTGCTGGTCTGTGGACCAAAATGGAGAACCACTGGAGTAGGCGAAGAAAAAAATCCAAAAGAACAATGTTTGAAATATTTAGGCGATGGAGATATTTATAGGGTAAAACACAGCGGAAGGAGAGGATGGAATTCAGAAAAAGGTAAAATAGTTGGTCTTGAGCAACAAGTGAGGTCATCTCTTCCTCTGAGACAGGCAGGCAGATGAAGATGTACATGATTACAGGTAAAGTTTACAGGTGGAGAAAAGGCAAGTTAAGAGTTCATGCCTGAAGGCCTTATTTTCTCCACTTATTTTTTCAAAGCAGTATCATCTACTGAGAATTTAGGAGATAAGGTAGAGTAGGGGAAAATATTAATAATTATACATTTAACAGCTATGGGAAAAAACATGTTAAAGTATTCCCAAGTTCCACTTATTTCTAAGACAGAGTCTCACTCTGTTGCCTAGAGGGCAGTGGCACAATCACAGCTCACTGGAGTGGAGCCTCAGCCTCCTGAGTAGCTGGGACTACAAGTGTGTGCAACCAACCACCCCTGGCTAATTTTTACATTGTTGTGGAGATGGGGGCCTCACTATGTTGTCCAGGCTGGTCTTGAACCTGGCTTCAAGTGATCCTCCTGCTTCAGTCTCCTGAAGTGCTGGGATTAGAGGTGTGAACCACACCTGGACCATCAACCACTGCTGAAGAAAAATCTAAACAGTATCAGCCTGCCTCAGTAATTACAGCATAATTAAAGAAAAAAGGAAATACTCTATTTCCTTTATTATTAAGTAAAAGAGCAAGAAGCCATTAACACTCAGAGAAGTCTTCCATTCTCCTCTAGATAAGTAGAGCAGACAAAGTTTGGATCAGCACTCCTGAAATCAGGTCATGACCAATCCACAAAGGAAGCCCTCTCCTGCCCAGGTGATCCTCCCACCTCAGACTTCTGAGTAGCTGGGACTACAGGCGCACGCCAACACACCTGGCTACTTTTTGTATTTTTTGTAGAGATGAGTTTTCGCCATGTCGGCTCAAACTCCTCAGCTCAAGCGAGCCTCCCACCTCGGCCTCCCAAAGTGCAGGGATTACAGGCGTGAGCCACCACAGCAGGCTAGGAAGTTCTTCATTTCTTCAGTGTAAGACATTAGTCCTACTTGCCCAGATAATGCCTTCGGGCTCGTTACACATTCCTCTATTTTAGAGGATGATGTGGTCTATTCAACAGTGATTCCCAAACCTATCAATTCAATTTCACAAATAGCGGGGCTCATAATTAAGCGGAGAATTGTACTAGAAAGAGTGAGGGATTTAAAAATGATAAAAGTCCTTGCCCTGCTTTTCTGTTTTAGATTTAGAGTGATCTCTCAGACACAGGCTAAACAGAAATACTCCATTCACACCTTCTGGGGTCTTGGGACTCAGGCACTGAATTATAAGCTCAATTAAAGAGAAAACTTGAGATTAGGTCAATGGCTCAAAAATGCCAAAAGCAAACAATCTTACTGACCACAGCTTAACCCTCTGTACATTTAGGTAATCCACTGCAAAAATGTAGGCCCGCCCAGAACAGAGAAGCATGCAAAAGAAAAAATGAAAAAAAAAAAAAAAAAATGATGTAAGCCAGAAGTAACCCAGCAGCTAGTAAAGGTGC